CGAACTAAACTGAAAAAACGTATGTCCGAACACGCGTTAACGAAAAATATAAAAAGTAACATTTCGCAACTTTGACGACGCAGTATGCTTCTTTAGACTTTCTAAAGCAATTTTTGTTCAATAAGTTATTCATTTTTTTGCCTATTAAGCCCAGAAAATCAATTTTTATTTGACCCTTTACTGCGTGTTTGGACATACGTTTTTCAATTTAGTTCGCGGTTTCGCCGCTAGATGGCGCCACAAATTTTCTCCATAAAATGACATTTTTTTTATTTTCTTTATTAAATCCTTTAGGAAGCTTTTATTGCATTATTTTGCTTCCAATGCGATCACATAACACTTTCTGACTCTGAGAAGTACTTAAAGTTCGCTAATTTTCGAGAAAATCGCATTTTTCTATTTTTGTAGTTCCAACTTTCACCGCTAGATGGACGGCAATTTTTTAGTCCATGAAATGGGCTATTTTTCTATTTTCTTTAATAATGGTCCTAGCCGGCTATAATTAGATTCGTTCGATTCCGTAGGCGACAAGGAAGAATTCGTATATCTCAGAATTTCGGAAAAGTCCCTAGTTTTCGAGAAAATCGAAATTTTAGTGTTTCGTAGTTCCGCCGCTCGCCGCTAGATGGCGCCACCTGTACCGTTTTCGACCGAATTCGACAAAAATTGATTTCCTGGCTTTATTAGGCATCAAAACGCATCAAACCCTAATAGAAATTTGTTTCTAAATGCCTCAGGAACCATACTACGTCGTCAAAGTGCCGAAATATTGCACTTTGCATGTGCAGTAGAATTGACATAGGCAGCTCATGTACGAATTTTATGAAACAGGAAGGAATGGGATGTTTAAAATACTTTAAAAATATGTTAAGTACAATTACAGCTATCGAAAATAATATTTTCTCTGCAGAATTTATTCGTCTTTCATGTTGTACAACATCAAGGAACAATGACACGAATAGGCTGTTGATCATCTTGCATGACGCCGATGCAGAATTTTTTAAATATACTCGATAGATTACGATATTAGGATATTTTGTTTCGCTCTTTGAAGGAATTTCGTAATTAGTAAGAATATTAACTTTGAAAAAAACGTATAAAACAGGGTTGCGACATTGCCGACGAGACAAGGATAATCTTGACGCAAGCGCAATCATACCCTAGACAGCAACAATGGATCGGAACCCATGTAGACACCGAGAAAAATAAAGTACGACAATGTTTGGTAGGGGGTTTAAACTTATTGGCACTGTTGATGTGCTTTCACAAACCAGTATCGTAAACGTGATTTGACCTTTGAAGTTGCTCGATAACTCGATTGTTCCTCAAAATCAGACCTACAAGAGGCAAAAATGCTTGCTGCAAGGTAACGATACACGCACGAAGAATCGTTCTCCCATAACCTGATTTCGAGGTAAGTTTAACTTTGCAACGATATCCAGTTCTAAATGTTAGCCGTTGAATATTCGAAGTCTGCGTTAACGATAATCCTTCGACGAATCCTTGCTTGTTGTTAACATTAATATAAAGTATACGATTTCGAATTTGTACAGGACCGCTATCTAGCGTTCTATTTCAGCTCTCTTTGTCTGTGTGCCTAGATATCGGTAACCCCTGAGCGATCAGAAATCTTGTGACGACAAAACGAGCAATCGACGACGGTGCATGCGAGGAAAAAAAATGTCGTGTTCCAGTGAGCTGTCACGATCCCACGAATATCTCAGCTTTCGTAGTTCCGTTCCGCTCAGGAAAATCGTGGTCGATGCTGATGGTACCAAGGTAATTTTTCTCCGAATCTTCTTATTGGTAAAACATTGATCGCGCGTTCAATAATCGATTCGGTTCGAGATCGAGACCCGCGATGTTGACCTTTCCCTGATCGTGATTGTCGTAATCGAATCTCCAATGTTGAAGAATGTAAATGATTGACAGCATATTTTTAATAAAGCGAACCAGGTATCGAGTGCAAGTACTTTCGGTGAACTTTCATGAACACTTTCGTTTCCCGGTTCTTACAGCGAAACTGGAACAATGCGATCGATGTTAATCTTTATCTCGCAAATTAGATAATGCTCGCGTTCATTTATACGCAAAATATTTCATAACTCGTAATAAACTAATTAAATTCGTAGTTTAATTTTTTTTTAATCCATCTCAGGGATGGAAGGTGTACGATTCCAGTCCAAAAACCATTAAGTGCCCTCTGATATGTCTTCCACCAGTAAGTGGAACAGCGGACGTGTTCTTTAAACAAATATTAGGCTTAGCGGCTAAAGGATACAGGATTATATCGGTTGGTTTAATATATTTTTTCATTTTAAAATCGAAACGAAAATTATACCTGAAAAAAAATGTTGTTCCCTTTTCAGGCCGAACCGCCGGTATACTGGAACGTGAAAGAGTGGTGCGATGGATTCAGAAAACTTTTAGATTACATGGAACTGGATAAAGTACATCTGTTCGGCGCTTCATTAGGTCAGAACGTACGAACGAAATTCGGTATTTCAATCGAGGAAAAAAAGAAGAAACTCGTGTCCATAATTATGATTTATTTTCAGGTGGATTCTTGGCGCAGAAATTTACCGAGGTTAACGCTCATTGTCCCCGAGTAGTATCACTGGTACTCTGCAACACGTTCACGGACACGTCGGTGTTCAATTACAACGATTCGGCCGCAGTGTAAGCGGGTTATTTTCCGAACGTAATAAAATCGACAGAATTTTGTCACGTTTAACCGTTTGTTTTTCACTCGTTTCGAGATAAGAGAGCGAGTAATAGAAAACGTGATACGTTATCGGTGAACGGTTCTGCGTGTAACCTCTAATCAATTCGTAGGTTTTGGATTCTGCCGTCGTTGATATTGAAAAAGATGCTTATGGGAAACTTCGTGACGGATAAGGTCGACGGGGAAATGGTGGAAGCTATAGATTTCATGGTTGAAAGGGTATCGCATATTTTCGTTTATTTTTATATCGAACGAATCGAACAGCCGAGCATTTAAGAAACGAATTTTATTCGCAGCTGGAAAGTTTAACGCAACCCGAATTGGCGTCCCGATTAACAATGAATTGCGTGAATTGTTACGTCCAGCCGCAAAAAATATGTCACCTGCCTATCACGATCATCGATGTATTCGACGAGTACGCACTGTCTAATTCTGTGAGGGAGGAGATGTACAAGTGTTATCCCAATGCTAAGCTGGCGCATCTAAAGAATGGCGGAAATTTCCCGTATTTAAGCCGATCGCCAGAAGTAAATTTGCATTTACAGGTATCCTTGACTTATCGCTATCTATGGGATCGACGATAATTATGATTTCGTTCGACCGCCAATTGTGAAACAACGCTTAATTTGCAGATTCACCTGAGACAATTCGAGGGCACCGAATACGCTGCTTCCGAAAGGACAAAGTTGTAGCGATCTGGTAAAGGATGAAAGAAAACAAAATATCGAAGTCGTCGTACCGACACATATTCCACGTATGCGCGTTCCTTTACTCGTTTCCTGATTACGAGCCAACAAGATTTTCGTGTTGTTATCAGTTACGCAATACGTATTAATACTTATAGATTATAATAGCAATCTCGAATCGTTCAACAAATATACTCGACATATCAAGTATGCTGAACTTTTTAATAATGTATGTAATATGAAACTTTTACGATACGTTTATTTCTTTTCTATCGCGATGTTTGCGAAGGTTTCGCGTTATTAAAGTCGTTCGATTCGTGAACGAAAATTGAAACTAAAAATGTCAAACGAGATAATAAATAATGTTTGCCTGTTGCGATCGTATTAATATCGATAAGATATAGGATCATTAACTAAATCTCTGTGTATACTAGTTCGAAATAAATGTAATTTTGTAAGAAATATTCTGGTGCAAAGAGACGATCGAACATTCGTTAAGTCGAGGGAACGTAGCGAGCGTAGTTGCGTGGATGAATTGTATCGCGTTTGATGTAACAGTGGCTCGACTCACCTGGTTTTACGTCGCCTGTGGCGACGTCGGTGAACGAACTCGGGATGTCTATGGTTTGCCAGACCGCCTAACTGAGAGACCGTACAAGAACTTGTTCGGTATCGATTTCTCTCGCTCGCGTTTCTCTCTCGTCGGCTCTGATTACAAGTCCTTTCCTGTTTCTACCACCTATGGGACACCTTTACATTCCAGTACATACCGCGTGCGCGTTAATTACGGTTGTACATCGGGACGCAGTTAACTCAGACCTTTGTCGATCGTGGCCTTTCGACTACGAAGCGATATCTGGCTTCTCTTTAAAAAAGAAAAACGCATCTCGTCGGAAGCGAATATACTCGCGTGTAACAAGTTATCGAGAGTATCCTAACGCGCTACGACGCGTTAACGATCAAGCGTATTTACTCTATCCTTATTCTAGATTAAGTTTCCAACGGTTCGTAAGAAGCCTGGATCTAAAAGGCGCATAAACGCGAGATTTTGAAGGTGCAGCACCCGATAAGATTAAGGTTATCGAGACGGTAGGCGATTGTGCCATGACATTAAAATCGAATTGTCCATTTAACATTAATTAATTTCGGGTTCGCGAAGCGGAAAACGTGAAGCGTTTGAAGGTTCAGTCTGTCCGGTGGTCAGATCGCGGATAGCCGCGTGCCTCGTTCGCGCTCGTGAAAAGCATGTTGCGCGCATACGAACGCTGATCGTCTTGACTTGCGATTCAAACACTTTTTTGACAAATATATTTCATGGAAGTTTCGCTCGCAAACGTATACGTTGTTACCGAATATTTCAGCCGTTGAAATATAACGAAGTTTTGACCGGGAAGGCACAGGTTCGTCCACTCGACAACTTAAATTAAACATCGAACGCTCGGACAAGAACGCTCGATTCGATAAGAATTAACTAAGATTTTTAAGTAAATTATCGGAGAAACTTAGTTTACTGTACATATATACAAACTGAACTCGATGAACTCGAACTGAAACTAATTCGATAGTCTAAACTTAAAGTTAACTTAATTACGCGAGTCGAACATTAACGAGCTTAACATAAATTGGAATCTATCTTAACACCGTTATTTGGAGTAACATCGTTATTCGAAACTCAACGCGGATACGAGCGATCGATATGCGAATGTACTCGCGAAAAACAATCAACATAGCCAAACGAAAGTCGATACGATGATACACGAGAACAGGACGTTTTGTCAGTGTTTCTTAACATCGCGACGCGATTCTCTAGATAGAAGAACTGACACGACGTTTCCAAGTTCTTGCGGTCGATCGATCGACTAACAAGCTTCGCGTCCGTACAGCCTTAAACGGAAATCGCTTGCAACCGCGAATTGATTCGCAAGTGAAAGGAAGGCTACGCGTCTCACCGTGTTTCCTTAAAAATACCAGGTCGTCGTGAACATCGTCTCCTCGCGATTTTTGCTCCATCGAAACGTTTTTCAGAATCAATCGAATCAAATCGAATCGACGGGACGCGACGGTATATGGTGAGTAACATCTCGAGCGAGCGTCGTGAGGTTTCCGGTAACGCTTGGGGGGCGGAAACTGACAAGATACATCGCGTCAACAAGTAACGTCATTTATGCTCGGACTGAAGCGGCATTTTAAAAATTTTACTTCGTTCTTCGATGGTATGAATGTCTCCGTCTCTTTGTAATCGACGTTTTTTCAAAACGTCATCGCCTGGTATTACGAACGCGATGTTTACCGTTTCCATAACATCCTTGGTATATCGCTAACGTATTCGGATTCGTCACGCGTTACGTGGCTCAGTCTGTATTCTCGTTAAAGTAATTTTAAACGATGATTTTCCGTCTTGTCTCTGTTAAAATAGGAATTAACGAGAAGTAGCAGCCGCGTACAGAAGAGAAGATCGCGTTTTCATTTATAATTTCGCTATAAGAACTAACTGTTAATTGCAAACGCGTTTGCGATCAAATTAAGCAGCAAAGAAACGTCGAATTGATTTTATATCGTTTTCGTTTGACAGAACGAAGAATGTCAGAAGTGGCGAACAATCAACGCGGTCTTAGCGGATTCGCGTGAATCTTGAACAGGCAAAGTTGATTTTTTGCCTTGAACGCGGTGGTTCGGATAATTCGGCAGGAAAATGGATCAGGAGGAGGAACGATCTCCTTTGTTGGAGAGAAAACTAAGCCTTTCGACGAAAGCCGCGTATGCCTTGGGACATATTTTCAACGATTTGACAGCTGCCATGTGGTTCTCCTACACTCTTATCTATTTTCAAAGGGTGGCACTGTTGGAACCGATTACTGCCGGGGCTCTGTTGCTTCTAGGTGAGTCGAGTATTCGAAACCTATTTCTACCGTACTGCATACTTACATGGAGATTTTGCGTTTCGCTGTTAAGGACAAATCGTGGACGCGTTCGTGACACCTATATTCGGGTTGTTGGTCGATCGATACCTGAAAAAGAAGACATGGCACATTATTGGCTCGTTGATGGTTACCACGACGTTTCCGATGATCTTCGGTGGTTTCGCTGATCCGTCAAATACAGCCGTTATGTTCATCTACGTGGTCAGCATCACCGTGTTTCAGATCGGTTGGGCAGCCGTGCAGATCTCTCATTTGTCGATGATACCCGCGTTGACCAACTCGCTCCTGGCACGGGCAGATTTAACCGCGATACGGTAACACGAATTCTCCTTGTCACGGCTACCCTTCTTGGCATCGTTCTGGCAACTTTTGTCCTTCCTCTTTTCGAAACAGATATTCCGCTCAAGTCGGTGCTGCCGTGGTGGTATTCGTTGTCACCTGGATAGTCTTACCTACAAACGAGGAAGCGGTAATTCGTTTGGCCCAACAGGATAGTTACAAATTTAGAGTGAGTAGACCAATTAACGCGTTTGCGCGAAAAAAAAAAGAAAGTAAGAAAAGAAACACGAACATCGTATACTCGTGTTCATTTTCGAGCAGGAAGAGCAAACGCTTAATTACGGTATTCGAGGGTTAATCTTTCGCGTAGCGGTAAACTGAAATCTTCTATTTTCGCGTCGGTCGTCGCATTTATAGGTTCGGACGATTTATAGAATTAGACAAATTTGTTGCAAAGACCGTGAAAAGGATTAACGACAATTTTCTTTCGCAGAATATAGTTCTGACGGTAACGAGCATCGGTTTGACGAGCACTATACTCTTCCACCTATTCTTGAAAGGAAATCTTTTGGAGGGAAACGATCTACGAAAAGAGAATGCCGAGGAACCGACGAGATTGGTCGATAATCCCTGCAACAATCGAAACTCGTGGGTCAATAGCATGATTCTGCTAAGGGTGGCTATGCTGTACGTGGCTAGTAGGCTGTTTATAACACTAGCCACGGTGTATTTACCTTTGTACATAGAAGAAACGGACGTCGACGGAAAAGAAGCTCTGGCTACGGTTCCTTTGGTTTCGTACTTATCCTCGTTCGTCGCCGCATTGTCCTTAAAGTACATCAGTAAATCATGCGGTACAAAGGTACATTGTTCGAATTCTCTCTCGCGGTAAAGAGTTGCCGAATAGTTGTTTTTTCTGTTTAGGCGTGTTACTTGTTGGGCAGCCTAATCGGAATATTATCCGCGGTTGTCACGGAATTCGCTGGGAATTCTGCGGCGATCATATACGTCGTCGCGGTGCTAATCGGTAGCGCGAGTTCGATCACGATGGTCACGTCGTTGAGCGTGACGGCGGAAATAATTGGCCCGCGAACAGAGCGTAGCGCGATCGTTTATTCGATCGTCACGTTTCTGGATAAAGTTGTCACGGGATTGGTCGTGATTCTGATCGAAAAACGGTAAGAACGTAGCAAGTATCGACGAGCGAACGCGATAACCGACTACATCGAAATTATTTTATTTCAGAAGGTGCACGCAACCGGAATTCTGCCCGAATTACAACAGAGACACTCTGTCCCTGGTTTGCGCTCTGTCGATGTCTCTGGGAATCGTCGCATTGTATTCGATATCGCGATGCCTTCCCTAACCACCGCCATACGACTCTGCATCGTTGCATAAACGAAGGCTCATCCATGTTTTTGTCTATACTTTTGTAGAAAAATTTGTACCGCAAGTTGCTCGAATAAAACTTTAGCGGCCAAAGAAACGAAGCGTTTTCGATAGAGAAACGAGGGGAATCGAATTTTCGCGGTTTCTCGTACGATAAACGGTATATTCGAGAAATCGACTGGATCGACCAAGCGGCAAGCTTCGCGAGGTTCGCGTATAGATGTCGCAACGCGACTAGCATACGATGCTCGGAATTTTCCAACGGAGATCGCGGCTGAGCAACCGAACACGGTAGTAGCCGCGAGAGTACGATGACCTGCTCGATTTACGCGTTACGTGGCGAATCGTGGTTGCGTCGTAGGAACGTAAGACAAGATCCGTTGAATTCTGTTTAGCCGTTATGCCTCGACGAACGATACAGTACGATTATCACGCGGGTCTATAACGATATATGCGAGGCAAGGTTCGCGAAAGAGTAGGGGAAGTAAGAAGGAGCGAGAGAGCGAGTCGATCGCGCTGGACGAAAGAAGGAGAAAGAAACGGGAGCAGGAGAAAGAGAGAAGGAAGAAGAAAAAGAGCGAAATAGAAAGGGCGAGAAGGAAAGAGAGCGAGCGGGAAACGGGTAAAGAAGCAGACGAGCGGGGAGGCGCCTTGGTGGAGTACGAGGCAACGACGACGACAAGCGGCGCAAACGGCGCACAGGGCGCACACAT